GATCCCACTGCAATCCTGACAGAGTTCTGAACATGTGTGGCTAACATGTGATTTTTTTTAACTTATGATGATCAAAGTTAGCGCAGGCAGTAAGGTGGCCTCACAGAGGCATCCGCAAAACAAAGAAGGAGTGAAAGTCTTCTGATAGTTATATAATAGCTGTTTGTTTCTTGTTGATATGTTTGCCCTTGCTAAGCCAAGATTACTCGTTTGAGTAGGATTCCAAGTCAGTGGGTTCAGTTGCTTTGCGTCTCCAAAGTTTCACGTGGCTTTGTTTCAATGACGTCGGCGGAGAAACCACAAAACGATGACTCTTCACTGTCAGTCTAAGTTTCACTGTCAGTCTACCTTCTGAAACTCTTTCATGCATGTGAGTTTGCCAGGAAAGATCCCCAGGCTGAAAAGGAGCGGTTGAGAAAATTAGAAGAGGACCGAGATGCCAGGCACGAAAATTGAGAGAATGATTTTTACAGGGGGCTAGCCGGGCTAGGCCGTGAAGAGACCTTAAGTAAAGTGGGTAGCCCATTAATTGAGTAGGCCGCTACTAGGCTGGGACGCAGGGTGGGACACAGAAGAAGTCAGGCTTCTTCAAGGAAGCTTCCTTGATTTGCTCCGGGACACTTACTTCGGTGTTTTTGTGTTGGGCATGGCCAGGCTGGCAGCCGATTTGTTTGCGGGTGTCAAGAAAGCAGACTCGCTACTCGAAAAAGAGAAGCGGGAAAAGGACAAGTCTTTGCCAAGAATCGATGTGATGTCAGTTGCTGGTGGCATAGCACTCACTGCTACGTTTAGTGGTGATGCCAGGATGAGTTGGCAGCTGCCAAGAAAGCCGCTGCAAAGCCAAAGGCAAATCGATGAATCTGTCAGTCACTTTTTCTGTCAAACAGAAGGGTTGCAAAACAAGTGAGGGCCTCTTTCTTGTCACTTGTGCCTTAGTTGAGAGACATTTGCGCAAAATCTTGACCAGGTGGTGACAGTGGACGAATTTGAAAGTCTACAGCTCACCTCCAGTGCCGACGCCCGGAACCTCAAGCAGGCTACGCTCGAAGAAATCTATACTGCACGAGCTGGCATGGGCTAGTGTCATAGGCGTCAAATCAAAGCTCCTGCAAGTAAGTGTGAAGAGGTATTCAATATTGTGTGCTTGAGCCCTTGAGGTCGATTCGTTATGTGCAAAATGCCTCGACAAGCTCGTCAGGGCCTCCAGAGCCTGTTGCATCAGATCTTCCAGACCTGGTCCTTTCACTCACTTGGATGGGCAAGATGTTCTGAACGGTGTTTTTTGAGCCCATTCCTTTTATTCAGCCTCAGCTAACGTGCATTTCCCGTATCGGGAAGGTTCTTCAAGGAAGCTTCTCTACTTGAACTCAAGCTCTTTTGCTTTGTTGCTAGTAGCTTCATTGTGACTACTTTTGTTATCTTTAGCTACTAGATATATAATCGTTGCTTGTATATATTTTTTGTATGTGCGCCTTTTTTGTTTAAAAATGCAAAAAGTGGTAATGTTCAAACGGAAAGTGAAAGGAATGGCTTAGTTTAAGAGGGAAAATGAAAAGGAATCATCATTATTACTATAAAAAAGGATTATCCCAGAAAGAGACCCCAAACAGTGTGTGTGGGGTCTATAAGCAGAAAGTCTAGAGATCTAGACGCATTGGGGTCCAGAGAGGTGATGGTGGTGATGAAGGTGGAGATCGTGGTGACGGTGGCGGCGGTGGTGAGTGAGTGAGTTTGAGTGTGAGTGTGACTGTGAGTGAGAGTGAGAGTGAGAGTGAGAGTGAGTGTGAGTGAGTGTGGGTGAGAGTGAGTGTGAGTGAGAGTGGGAAAGTGAGTGAGAGTGGGAGAGTGGGTGAGCGTGAGTGTGGGTGAGAGTGAGTGTGGGTGAGAGTGTGAGTGAGTGCGAGTGAGAGTGAAGGTGGGTGTGAGTGAGAGTGAGTGTGAGTGAGAGTGGGAGAGTGAGTGCATCTGAGAGCACAAAGTGCTGCGCCTGCGCTGAAATCTGCACTTCAAGGTTCACAAAGTACTGCGCCTGCCACGAAATCTGGGCATCGAGGTTCACCAAGCGCTGTGCCTGCCACGAAGTCTGCACTTCGAGGTTCACGCAAATGCTGCGCCTGCCACGAAATCTGCACTTCGAGGTTCACAAAGCGCTGTGCCTGCCACGAAATCTGCACTTCGAGGTTCACCAAGCGCTGCGCGCCCCACGAAATCTGCACTTCAAGGTTCACCAAGCGCTGCGCCTGCCACGAAATCTGCACTTCGAGGTGCACAAAGTGCTTCGCTTGTCACGAAATCTGCGCTTCGAGGTTCACAAAGTCCAAAGTGCTGTGCCTGCCACGAAATCGACACTTCAAGGTTCACAAAGTGCTGCCACGAAATCTGCAAATGAGCCTCCAAAAGTCACAATTCACTGCACCTGTCACAAAATCAGAGCTCGTCCAAGATCACCACCATGTCCAAAGTACTGTACTTGCCACGAAAACTGCATTTCGAAGTAAAACAGCTCCGATCCCTTGCACCTGTCACACTGTGGACCACAAAAACACGAGGTTTCCCTCGCACCTGCCACGAAAAGTGACCATCATGTGCGGAAATGCACGCGACGCCACAACGAGCCCGCAGTCGTTAGAAGCACCCGCCCGGGGCACCCAGACTTTGTGAGCCTGCGCAGTCGAAATGCACATTGACGATGTCGAGAGGCATGAACGTACTGTAACTAGCAACGAATTAGCCGGACAGGCCCGCGCGGCGCAGCGATCTAAGCACAGCTGCTTTACTCCTACCGTAAGAACCCTAAGTGTGTCCACATTGCTTGGGAAAAATGAAAGGGAATAAGTATTTTCAAAGGATGAATGAAAGGAATTGATCATTCTTAAACCGACAATAAAAAGACATAATTCTTTTTGAAGGAAAGCAAATGCATTATTTAATTTCAACTTGAAAACTCTTTAAACAAAAATGATCAATGCTTTGTATGTTCCCTTGAGAAGTGACTATTCACTTGTATGTTCCTTTCGAAGTTGTTATAATCCCTTCATTGTGTATTTTTTTGAAATGATTAACTCATTTCATTTTCCTGTTATAGATGTTTACTTCCTTTTAAAGAGGACTAATTCCTTTCATTTTTCTTGGAACAGATATGTTTTTTGATTTTCCTTTTGAACATGATTAACTCTTTTCATTTACCTTTGCAAAGTAATGAACAGAATTGATATGTTTTAAACGAAATGAAGGGAATTGATCATTTTCAAAGGGAAATTGGGTGACCGGACCTATTAGTTTCCTTTCTACTAAAATATTGAAAGATTTGCACGAATTTTCCTACTTTTCCTATTGTTGAAAAGTGTAAATTGTTTCATTTTGGTTAGTATGAACAAAATGCCATTACTCAGGATTGATCCAAGTGAATCGAGAAAACCCAAAAACCAGAAAAACAAAAAACACTTTAAAACGCAAAGATTTGGCAACTAGTCTTGAGATCAGACTGGTTGTGGAAACTTGTTTGTTTTTTTCACAAGAATTCAGATTAAATAGTACTTCCAGAGAAGTCTTGCTGTGAAGGTTCACGGTGTATTTTTGTTGGGGGGTAGCATATATATATATACATCCAACTGCTAGCTATTAAGACTTGCTAAGATGTACCCAGTTCCTCCACCCCTAAAATGAAAGCTCTTATGCACATCGTTTGGATGGTTAGGAAGCCTCCACACTGCACAAGGGTGGACCACAGAGGCCAGGCCGATTCGGGCCTCACTTCACAGCCTTGCTGAAGTCAAAACTCCTTTCCAACAATAAGCAACAAATTGTGGTGAAACCCTGAGAACTCGTCAGATTTGCATCCGCGTGAACGGCATAGGCCGCGCACGATAAGCAACACGAACACAAAAGAAGGAATGCTCTACGGCTGTGATGTGTTGCGCATGTTGCGAACTTGGTGCTAGAAGTTATCCCTCGAATTGCAAAGTGGCCAAGCGCCAGGTTCTTGACAAATTTGATCAAGAAGTTGGAAGATTCGTTTGACATGGCGGAGTCCGGCACCCAAAATCGTCATCAGATCCAAATCGTATGCCCAATGCTTGTAAGATGTTTCGGAAGTCTTTTGAAATGACTCATGACCTACAACACGGAGATGAATTGCTTGAAGAAGTTCACAATCCTTCGCCCAGTCTGGAAAATTTGGAGAAGAGCCTAGCACAGATTGTGAAGGACAAGAAGGCCAAAATGCACACTTTGTGCAAACAGTATTTCCGTATTTCTCTTTTCGCACGCATGTTCGTTGGAACCAAATCTTTAGTGCGAGCGCTTTTTCCCCACCTGTCAGGTGAGGGTTGTTAGATTTTAATGTTAGCTACTTCCCGTCCACTTCTCCTCATGCCCGTCCGTCCGCTGCCTCCTCAACTGCAAGTGTAGGACGGCAGTGTTTCCCGCCGGACGCGTACCGCCAGTGATCCCCGCCGGACCTCAACCGCCAGCTCCGGACGGCAGCACTCCCCGCCGGACCTCAACCGCCAGATAGAAGATATGCCAGATAGAACAGCAGAAAGAATTTCAGAAGACATGCAGAAGATGCGCCAGATAGAATGTCAGAAAGAATTCCAAAAGATATGCCAGAAAGAATGCCAGAAGATATGCAAGAAAGAATGTCAGAAGATATATTAGAAAGATCTTAGAAAGAATGTCAGAAAAATGTCAAAAGATATGCAACATAAAAGTGTCAGAGGACATGCCAGAATGAATGTTAGAAAGAATGTCAGAAGATGTACCAGAAAGAATGTCAGAAGATATGCCAGAAAGAATGCTGAAATTGCAAAGCCGGCATGAGTCATAGGTCATGGACCCTTTTCACTTCAGACCCTCCCGACCGAGGGCCCTTGAGCGGATCAAATCAGTGCGTGAGCAGCCGCGCCATGTTGCCCCATTTTCCACGGGTGTGAATCCCCGAGTTTGCATTGGTAGCGGAGCGAGCCGAACTCGTGCTCGCTCCCTATCCTTAGCCCGCCATGCCGCTTGCTGCTGATGTCTTGCGGCCGCCTGGCGATGGCACTACGCCAGATCTACATCCTGGTGCCCTTGGAGGTGAACTTCCTGGCACCGGAGCCCCACAAGGAGAGGACGATGATGTCCTAGTTGAAGCGCTGGACCATGACCTCTTCGAGGACACCTACCAGGACGATGGCCAGATGGACGAGCTCTATGGCAGGGCTCCACTACAGCGTCGACGCCTTGGACGCAACGGACCTCGTTCAGATGATCACGGTCCCGCTGATGGAGAGCCTGGTGAGAAGACCCCTTCTCAATCCGGCTCGCAGCATGCTGGCTCGGGGAGAGATTCTCCGAAGTCAGCCAAGTCCACGAGATCTAAGACCTCCGTGGACGAAGCTGGACGACATCGACCTCGAGGCAATCTTCCGCCTCCACCGGCGTTTTCCGGTGAAGTGAAGAAGAACCCCAAAGCCTTTCGTCATTGGCTTCAGAAGGTGGACAGCTTTGTGGAGATCGCCAAGCACATCATTGGCGATGAGGAGATTGGCCTTCGCTTGCACTCGGCTCTTGAGGCGGACGCGGCCGAGTACTTGGAGGACATCCCGGCCAAGACCTTCGGCGTCCCCGGTGGATGGAGAGTGCTCATCCAGGTGCTTCGCGAGAAGTTTGATGAGCGCCGGATGCACAAGGTCGGATCGGCCATGAAGTCGTTCTTCAAGCTCCAGGTCGACCGAAGCTGGACCCTCACCGAGCTCGTCGACCACATGGACAAGTCGGCACGCCTTTGTCGAGAAGCAGGCCTCGCGATCCCCGATGAGATCCTCGTCTACCAGTTCTTCGAGCACAGTGGAAGATCCATGGAACGTCAGGCGAACTTGCTCTTGAGGACCTCTGGAGACTACGACTGGAAGAAGATGAAGACCGCGATCGAGCTCCTCTATCCCACGACGCTGGTCTCTCAACGTCGTGATGGTGGTGGCTTCAAGGGCTATGGTGGCGGAAAGGGTAGGTCAGCACACGAGGCACAGGGCGTTTGGGAAGAGTCCAATACTTCAAATGACTACATCCAGCCCGACATGGACATCGAGGACTGGCTCTTCTACGAGGACCCCGTCGAGAAGCTCGCCGATGAGGTCCCCGACTACCTGCCTGAGAACCTGGCCAGAGAGCTTCATGAAGTCTACGCCACCCATCGAGAGAATCGAGCACGCCTTGCAAAAGCAGTCAAAGCCCGCGGCTTCTATGTGAACAAGTCCAAGGGCGGCAAGAAGGGCTCGAAAGGCGGTGGCAAGTCGAAAGACAGTGGCAAGGCTGGGAAAGGCTCAGGAGGCAAGTCGAAAGGCAAAGGGTCTGGAAAGGCCCGTGGTATGTCTCTGGAGCAGCTGAAGCAGGTCACCTCTTGCGCCGACTGTGGCGAGATGGGCCACTGGCGAGGTGACACGCAGTGCAAGAATCCTGCCAAGAAGGCCCACGAGACTGTGAATGTGGACTTCGAGGACACCGAGCAGTTCGAGGCCTACCTCCAGGACTACCCGTACGACGATTGGCACGAATGGGAGCCGGACACCAACGAGGCCTGGATCACCAACAAGTACCAGACCTGGGACGATGAGAAGGTTTCCGTCTCCAAGAAGCAGACCGCAGCTGAGGCCTTTCCCCAGTTGGACTATGAGGAGGCCAAGCACGTGGTCAAGACGGTGAACGCCGTCAAGCGCAAAGCATCCGAGCACGCCGGATCCTCTGGCGATGTTCCCCCCGAGCAGGCAGGACTGACGCCTGCGACACGTCCTCTGGATGTGTTCACGGCCACCGCACAGGTCAAGGAGCAGATCGAGTCCCGCAAGTTGAAGCCCGTGGCACACACCGCGACGGCGCCTGAGGCCGTCCGTGAAGCTTTCGAGATCCTTGGAGTCACTCCACCTCCGAGGAGTGGTTCAGTCTGGGACTGCCTGTCAGCCACGGAGGAAGAGAAGACCTTCGACCTGGACTCGATGCGCATCTCCTACATGGTCAGCAAGATGGACCCGCGCTCAGCGCGTGGTGTCGGTCGCCCTCCGGCTACCGTGACACCTGGCCGTGCATACCTCACCGTTGACACGGCCTGCGAGAACACAGTTGGCGGACTCACCGCATTGCACCTGGTGGCCAAGGTCTTGGAGGACAAGTTCAAGGTCAAGCCAACCGTGCGCCCGGAGGAAGAGTCCTATCGATTTGGACCTGGCGAGCCCCGGATCTCGCATGAGCGCTGGCACGTGCCGATTGGCATCGGCAAGAAGAACATGATCATCAAGACCTCCACGCTTGATGACCGACCCCCGGGACAGAACAAGATCCCATGGCTCGCAGGACAAGATTGGCTGCGCTTCATGGCAGCAGTCGTGGACATCGCCGAGCAGAAGATCATCCTGAAGAGCATCGACGCTCAAGCTCCTTTGTTTACTGACCACACCGGACATTTGGTGGTGGCAGTTGATGATTTTCCAAGTTTGGGCTGGCCTGAAGGAAAGGTCGCTTCGAAAGATGATTACGCTGGACTCCTCTGGCTCACAGGAAAAGCGTATATGGAGTCTGCAGCGCCAAAAACCACTCACATCTACAACCCCGAGGATGACCCTTTGGCAACTGGTGATATCTATGGTCTACATCCCTGTACGGTACATGGTGATGTTTGGGAGTACAACATGGACAACCCCCTGGTCTACATCCGGAGACACCGTCGACCAAGAACCACCAGGTTTCATCCTCAAGATGTAGTAGACGGACCCGAACCACGTGAACTGCAGATGGTAAGGGTCACGTACAAAGATGGAGCCCCTGAACCGATCGTGGACACCTGGGATCAGAAGGTTGAAGAGGAGCCCTGGACAGGCTACACGGTTTTGGTTGGTTTGGACTGTGAACCTCATGTCCAAATGGTGGCATCCACACCCGCACATCACCAAGTCGGGGTCAGCATCGAGATCGCCGGCAAGCCGAGAACTGTGCACCCGAAATCTTTGAAAGAAACCGTCACTAAGAGGCTTCAAAGGTCTTTTGCACCCCACATCAAACCTCCGGATCTGCCGCTGAGTCGTCATGATCAACGGTTCACTTCGTCGCAGAAGGAATTTCCGAATGTCAGCAACTTCGGTTCCAGCACGCCCGCACGAGCTGCCTATGAGGAAGGCCCCATCGGATCGACGCCAAAAAGCTGCTCAGCTATGGCGGCTGCTGGTGGAGCGGCTCATGAAGCTCTACGCGGCGCTGCAGCGATGGGTGAATGCGAACAAGGTGGTGCGGGAGTGCAAGTTCCGTGCACCAGCTCTCATGGGCTACATGGAGGCGATCCTCGACGAGGAGACCACCTTGGCGATGGACCTACCTCCTGCTCTACCTCCTGCTTCTACGAAGGCGAAGGGACAGACAGCCTATGCCCTGAACCTGAAGTACCAGGAGGAGCCACACAACTGCCCACATCTGGTGGAAAATGGTCGTCGCTATGGAAACGCCCATGGCAAGTTCTTGGAGTGCATCAACTGTGGGAGCGTGTGGCGGGGCATCGACTACACGGTGCCGATCAGCCAGGAGATGGTGACCACGTACAAGATCTACGTGGGCATTCGGGACAAGCCAGGAGGCAAGGTCATGAAGGGCGCCACAACCCGCAGAGCTTCTTCTTCAAAATCCTCTGTCTACTCATCTTCCTCACCTCCAACATCTATGGAGGCAGCCTATGGGATCACCTACCAACCTCCGAGACGGGCAACTACGAAGGCAGCACCCTCGAAGCCCGAGCGTCAGATCCAGCCCAAGAAGGAGAAGGTCAATCCACAGGTCTACAACCTGGAGGAGTGGGACGACGCGGACATGGTGGAGGTGACAAGCGAGGAGGACGTTCAGGAGGTGAAAACGGCAAGAGCTTCAGGTCCGAGGACACAAGGCAGGATGACTCATCGCAACAAGGACGACTCCCACACGGACGAGTTCGACGGCTGAACGATGAGGTGAAGCTCAAGCCTGGTCAGCAGAAGAGAATGAAGCACATGGCACGACAAGCCCTAGCGACCTCCAAATGGCAGCGAAAGCTCATTGAAGAGCGTATGAAGAAAGGCCGTTGGCCCCGCAAGCACTTCAAGTTCGACCTGGTGGAGGTGTTCGGTGGCACTTCGATGGTCAGTGTGAGAGGCAGCACTATGTGGCGGATGAAGGTGTTGCAGCCAGTTGACATTCGCTATGGCTGCGACTTGAGAAAAAGGCAAGCCAGACGCTGGCTGATGCAGATGTTGGACAAGGCCAACCCACGTTTGGCCATTGTGGAGTACCCATGTACGGTCTGGAGCACCCTCAACTCCAACATCAACTACCAAGGTCGAGAAGAAGAACTTGCACGACTTCGAGAAGAAGACCGACCTTTTTTGAAGCTGACCGAGGACATCTTCGCTTCGCAGGTCAGCCGCGGCGGACACGCCGTATCAGAGAATCCAGCAACCGCAGCCTCACAATCTCAGCCCGAGATCCTTCGCTTGAGAGAAAGGTGGTACGAGACCACGTCATGCTTATGCATGTTTGGGCTGCGAGGCAAGCGAGGCATGCCTATGATGAAGAGAGTTCGCTTCATCGCCACCCACGAGTACTTCATCCAGGAGCTGGACCTTCAGTGCGACCACAGTCACCAGCACGAAAATGCTACCCACCAGCTCTGGGAGATGCGATCTGCAGAGCTTACTGGAGAGTGGTCGAGCTTGAGGACTTTGGCACGGTCACCTATGAGGACTATAAGGTCAAGAATGCCAGCACAGCATGGTTCGTCGACGTCAACAAGCAGGAGGACAAATGGCGACCCTTGCTGCAGGAAGCTGAGGAGATCTTGGCCAGGAAAGTGCAGAGCAGCATCTTCGTCACCCCGGAGTCCGACCTCTACCGGAAGATTTGTGAATTGGTGCCCTGGCAAGTGATGAACATTCAGCTGGCCCATCTTCCAAAGGCCAAGCGAGTCAGGCCTGGGCTGGAAGAATGTCATCGAGCATCGGTCCTGCTGCAGAACGACAACTCCATCGTCATCGAGACCGAGTATTTGAAGACAGCTCAAGCACCCCGTGAACGCTTCATCACACCGGTTCGCGTGGGCATCTTCATCCTGGGCTACGCACCCGGTGAACCGCAGGCACCAAGCCCTCAGAAAGAAGGAGAACGGCAATACGTTGAGGCCGAACCCGGAGAAGCAGTTGGCGAAAGAATCGAGGGCGATCATTTTGACGATAAGTCCCTCGTCAAGCAGAGCTACGGAGGCGAGACTTGGTTTGAAGGACCTCCACTCACCAACCGACAGAAGAAGCTGGCTCCCTCGATCGTCAAGCTGCACAAGAACCTCGGGCATCCCAGTCAGCCTGACTTCACTCGCGCCCTGGTCCAAGAAGGCAATGTGGAGACCGAGGCCATCGAGCTGAGCAGGAGGCTGAAGTGTGCAGTCTGTGAACGGTCGAGACGACCAAAAGCACCACGTCCGACTTCCTTCAAGATAGTCGGCTCCTTCAACTCCAAGCTGTGCATGGACTTCGTCTATGTGCCGGACGCTGAGGGGAACAACTACCAGTTCCTCCACATCTTGGAGCCCAATGGATCCTTCAACGTCTTCTACCCCAGTGCTACACGCAATCCTGGAGACGTGTGGGATTTGTTTTGTTTGCTGTGGGCTAGCTGGGCAGGCTTCCCACAGACCTTGTGGTGCGATAAGGACGGCGCCTTTGAGGGTGAGTTCCTTGAAAGGATCAGGTCAATGGGCACCCTGGTTGATAATCCTCCAGCAGAAGCTCATTGGCAAGCCGGACAAGTTGAGGCCTACAACCGCGCCTTCAAGGACACCGCTCAGAAACTGGTGGACGAGATGGTCCTCCGAGGCGATCGAGATATGAGAACTCTCGGCTGCGCTGTCGCTGCCGCAATGAATGACCGCATCCGGTCATCAGGATGCTCGGCCTATCAGTGGCTCTTTGGCAAGAGTCCTCAAACACCCGAGGACGTCCTCTCCCCGGATGGCAAGTTCGAAGCGCTACAGGCCATGGAGCTGGACGAAGAGCTGCGGAGAAGGAATAGGATTCGAGCAATGGCAGATGAGAAGATCTCTGCCTACCGGCTTAACGAAGCCGTGCGGACAGCCATACTCCGCAAGTCTCATCCAATGAAGGATGACTACGAGCCTGGCGAACTCGTCGCCTTTTGGCGAGAAGCCAAATATCGCCAAGGCAAGAAAGGACAGAAGGGCAAAAGGATACCAGCCTCTTGGTATCGTGGTGTGGTGGTTGGACCCCATAAAGGAGATGGCACCACCAAGCAGAACAACTTTTGGGTCACCTCAAACGGACGGTGCATCCTTGTGGCCAAAGAACAGATGAGGCCGGCTTTTGGCACCGAACTATGGCCGGTACACGAACATGTTCTCCAGGAACTACAAGACAATCCTCCGCAGCAGTACTTGGACCTTCGCACGGACGAGCTGCCGCCGGTGCCGGAGGATGATGATGAAGACCTGGATCAGGTCCCGCTCTTCCCGGACAAGAAGGAGGAGGAACGAATGGAAGAAGAGCTTGGTGAAGGACCACCTGGAGAAGCAAGTTCACCTGCCGCTGACGCAATGGACATCTTGGCGGAGCAAGAAGCGGCAGAAGCTGAAGACCCTACAGCTACGGCCTCAGACAGGACAACATTACCAACCCATCCAAGCACGAGAGCGCCTGGAACTCCGGTTGGACAGCTATGGCCACAGACACCACAAAAGAAGATGAGGACTACACCTTCGCACTCAGCACCTTCCGAGGCCGCCCCATCGGCAGTCACGGACCTCGCCATGGAGCAGAACCCTGCAGTACCGGAACCTTCCTCTGCCATGGTCACCAACGTCGGCAAGGACTTCTGGCACGCAGACCACAAACGTGGGATTTTGGTACGCCACCATCTACAACCACGTCGAGCTCTATACGACCCTGGTCGAGCTCACGATCTACCAGTACGCCTGGACAAGATCTCGAGATTGAGGACCACGGTGATGTTCCTCGACTCCGGACGCAAGATGGTGAGAGACACATGGGTGTCACCAAACTCCAACACGCCCATGGACAAGAAGTGGACCGGCAAGACGATCTTCAAGATCTTGGTGCGGTCCGCTATGGAAGCCCATGCCGAGTGGCAAAACCCAGAGCGCATGTCCCGGAAGGACCGGAAGGCCCTGGAGAAGGAGTTACCTTGGTCGGCCATTCCCGACGAGCAGAAAGAGCTCTACCGGCAGGCGCTGGTGAAGGAGTGGAACACATGGCTCAAATACGAGGCCGTCCTCATCCTCAACCCTGAGTGCAGCAGACAGGTTGAACTGATGGTTGACGCCAGCCGCATCCTTGCGGCCAGAGTCTGCTACAGAGATAAACACGCAGCCACACCTTGGCTGGAGATCAAGCCCAAGGCCAGAATTGTTTGCAGAGGAGACAACGATCCAGACCTACTCGAACTACGTCGAGACGCTCCTACACTCACGAGGTTGGGGCTGATGCTGATACTTCAACTCGCTGCAAGCGGAGAAGGTTGGATCATGGTCACCGCCGATATCACCGGCGCTTTCCTACAAGGAGACCAAAGCCTGGCCAAACGGAAGGAACCGCTTTTCATCAGGCAGCCAAAAGAAGGTTTGCCCGGACTTCAACCAGGACAACTTCTACTGGTGGTGCGAGGCATCTTTGGCTTGGCAAACAGCCCCCGGCTGTTCTGGCGCTTCCTCCGCGACAGCTTGATCACCCTCGGCTTTGTGCAGTCCACGCTCGACAAGGCCCTCTTCATGTACTACGAGGACCACCAGCTCATCTTGGCGCTGGGAGCACACGTCGATGATTTGATATGCGCTGGATGCCCAAAGCGAGCGGACAACATCCTCAACAAGGTGAAGACCACGTTTGACTTCGGGGACTGGCACGACTCCCGCCAGGAGAACAAGATGGTCTACGGTGGCAAAGAGATCATCGTGCGCAATGACGGCAGCGTCACCCTGGGTCAGGAATCTTTCATCCGGGCACTGACTTTGACACCAGTGCCGAAGTGGCGAAGGATCATGAAGGACTCCACCTTGACAGCCACCGAGGTCACGGAGATGAAATCAGGTGGCGGATGTTTGCATTGGCTCATCGCCCAGACGAGGCCAGATCTTGCTGCAGGTACCTCGCTGGCTATGAGCGGAAGCCCTACTGTCACGAACCTGCTTGAGGTGAACAAGCTCCTGCAAGAGGCGATCCGATCCCAAGACTGGAAGCTCAAGTTCGTGCCTATCCCACTTGAACAGGCACGCATCATCGCCTTCAGCGATGCCTCATGGGCGAACACGGAGGAGCTGAAATCCCAAGCGGGATACTTGGTCTTTGTGACCGGGCCGGAGGTGTTCACTCCAACTGGAGATGCCGCCAGTTTGGTGGAGTGGAAATCCCACAAGATTCGGCGCCGCTGCCGATCGACCCTGGCCGCAGAGACTATGTCCCTTGATGCGGCTACGGATGCAGCTCTCTTCACCCGCGAGCTGCTGGCAGAGATTTGCATCGAGGGCTACCAGCCGACTCATTCAGGACGATTGGATGAGACCATTTTTCCAACGTCCATGGTCACAGATTGTCGCTCCCTCTTCGACTTGCTCATCAAGGACGGACCCTTGAGCAGCACACAAGAAAAGAGGTTGACCTTGGACATTGGAGCACTTCGTGAAGTGGCCGAAGAACTGGAGCCCACCGGCGAGATGATGAAGGAGATCTACAGGTGGGTGCCCACGAATGTCCAGAGAGCGGACTGCTGCAGAGCTTCGAGAGATCCTGGACCGAAACTGGATCTCCATGGTGGCAGATGAGGAGACCACATCGACTCCGAGCCCTACACGCTCGGCGCTGTGGGCCGCTGCCGCTTGGGTGAGCCGCGCAAGCCTGCTTGGCCTCTTAAAATATAGAGGAATGCAAAGCCGGCATGAGTCATAGGTCATGGACCCTTTTCACTTCAGACCCTCCCGACCGAGGGCCCTTGAGCGGATCAAATCAGTGCGTGAGCAGCCGCACCATGTTGCCCCATTTTCCACGGGTGTGAATCCCCGAGTTTGCAGAAATAATGTTTCAATACATGCACGCCGAAATCAATGTTAGATTGAAATGTCATGGTGGGGATCACTTGAAGTGAAGTAATTCAAGGAACCCCCCCGCTCTGAGGGGGGGAAATTTCTCTGAAGAAGCGTAAGTTATCCAGTTATTAGAAGATTTAGTGGTCAGGAGCTTACATTAAGCATGGGCGGGTTTTAAAAAAGTGTTTTCTCATGCATGTTCATTGGTTGAATTTTTGGCGTTAAAACAAACCGAGCATATCAAGTTGAGGCGACAAAGGCGAATGCCTCCCTCTCAAAAGAGAACAAGGCTGCCACCAAGATCAACAAGAATACAAAGTTCAATAAGGAATCTGAGTGGGAGGACAGGCAAAGCTACTGCGTCACACTGGGTCAGGTTAAAACGCTTGACCAATGGAATGATTTAGTATTGTTATAAGGAAATATACTCGTGAATGCAACATTGAGTCACTCGGACCAGTCGCAGGATATCTACGGAGGTGGCGATGATGATGAGGCAGGTTTTTTGATTATAATTGATCCCGATGTTGGCAAAGCTTTGCAACCGTAGCTGCAGCTGAAAGCTGGTCGTGGAACTGCATCCAGTGCTCTTGAAAGCACACTGGAGCAAGATCTGTCAAAAATCCCATTATTTTGAGGTTGATTTGGAGTGTTTTGGAATCTCTTGCTTGGCGTCTTGCAGAATGTTTTGTTTCAGCGATCAGGACTGGACTCAGGAAGAATGGGATGCCTGGTACGCTCAACAAGAGGCCAAGGGTGCCAAGTGGTCTTGATAGGCAGGGAGTCGAAAGCTCAAGTTTTTTTGCCAAAACAATCAGATCTTTGGCATTTGATGGACCAAGACTTCACAGGCAGAGATGATCGCAGCTTTGGTCGCCAAAGAAATCAATGAGGTTGGAATGTGGACGAGTTCTCAATGCAGCAGGGCCACACCCAACAAACTAGGTGATCCTGATATTTTGCTCAATTGGCACGAAGATGTGTGAAGACTGGACACTACTCCCCAGGTGAGTCATTGAAACGCGCCCATGAGTTGATGTTCTCCAAATTCTCCAGGTGTGTAGCCAATCAATGCAATTCGGCATCGTCCGCATGACAATGCTTATTGTGAGGGTTGCAAGATGAATCCACGAGAGCGCTTGCAGTTTGCTCTGACTTTCAACCTTATCAGCAGACTTATTCTGTACGCGTGCATGTGCACTGCAATGCGTAATACGCGAGCTATGCTTGGTCCCTTTGGGAGGCAGCAGGGTCGTAAACCCCCTTTGAGGGGAAGGCTGCTGCCTCAAGTGGACCAGCCACCAGTAGTGGAGGCACGCCAAGGTCCAGTCTGAAAATCCAATATTTCGTTTAGATATTTCACGAGGTGTGATGGAATTGGTTGCTCCACAGCTTGCTGATGCGGACCATCATCCGCAGAAAGAAACTTTCGAACCTCAAACGAATCAATTTCCTTGGACGGGCCAACAGAACTGCCCGAACGAAGATAAAAATATGCATTATTACATAAAATCAAATTATAATATATAATCATATATATAAATTAGTTATTATATAGGTAAATTAATATATATATATATACATTATTCTTAAAAAATTCTATATTATGCATATATAAATTACGAAAGCTAGCCGATAGGCGTGGTTGGAGGTTTTGTGAACGAACGAAATGAATTAAGGGGGTATGGGGGGAAGGGCCTAAAATGTAAGAAAATGAAAGGATTAATTTTGAATTTATTAGGGGAAAATATCCCAAAGTGAGGATTAGAAAATATTGAAAATTATGTAAAAATATGGATATAAAAATATGATATAATTGATGTCGAATGATGCATTATTAATATTATTAACGATTTCGGTTAATATTTTTTTTGGTTCGGACGGGTTATTGAAAATATATTAATATATAAGAAAAATATTAAATTAATAGGGTACGAATTTAAAGTATGGTATTAAAGCCTTGAATATTTTGTAGTTTATCGGTTGAATTAAATTTTTAAAAATAAAGATATTAATATATTTTGATTAAGAATATACGTTCGGGCAATTTATATTTGTTATTGGATTTAAATTAAAGAATTTATTGGATTAATAAAATAGGTAAAATATATTTTAATCGATTGGAGTTTTTGTGAGCGAACGAAATGATAATTTTTTTATTTCAGATAAATTAGCGTATATGTAAAGATATAAGGCTAATTGGATACCAATTTAAAGCATGTTAAAATTTTGGGCATTTTGTATCTTATTGTTTGGTTAAATTTTTAAAGCAAAGATATCGATATATTTTGACTAAGCACGTACGATCGGACAATTTACATTTATTATTGGATTTTAATTAAAGAATTTATATAAATGGTATTGATTGATTGGACTAATAAGATAAAATATACCCCTATTATATATAGTGGTTGGAGATTTTGTGAGCGAACGAAATGAATTAAGGAAGAGGGAGGCCTAAAATTTAAGAAATTGAGAGGGTGAATCTTGAGCTTGCTTGGGGAGAGCGCCCAAAAGTGAAATAAAAATGGGGGATGATGAGATGCAATTGATACCGAGATTCCAATACCTTTTCATGGATTTATTTCGGTACCTTTTCCCAAACCTTTTCTGGAACCTGCCCCGGAATCGTTTGTCGAACTTCCTCCGGATCCGCGGCGGAACCTCGTCCGGGACCTGCTCCGAAGCTCGCTCTGAGATTGCTCCGAAGTCTTTATTATGGCCTATGTTTCGTTGTTGGGGAATGATGATTGCTTCAAAATGGAATTGCTTGGATGTATTGGGGTCAATATGGTAGTTGGTTGGCAGCGATAAGTCCCTATTAGAAAGGGGCCCGTGTAGATGGCAGCTTGGTGTTTCTGATAGGGGCCCGTGTAGATGGCAGCTTGGTGGGGTGAAGAGCCTGCTGTTTATGGGCGCAAGCGCAAATAAAGTCCCTAACAGCACGAAGCGCCATTGAGAAAATCTCTTCGTTGTCCAAGCCTTCCTCTGGAACCTTGTCTGCTTTGGAACCTGCTCCGGAACCTGCTCCGGAACCTTCTCTCGAACCTCCTCATGGACCTGCCCCGCAACCTTCTCCCGAACCTTCTCTGGAACCTGCCCCGGAATATTCTCCGGAACCTGTTCCGGAACCGTTTGCCGCACCTCCTCCGCATCCGCTGCGGAACCTCGTCCAGAACCTGCTCCGAAGCTTGCTCCGAGTCTGCTCCGAAATCTTTTCTATGGCAGAAGACCCCTATGCTTCGTTGTTGGGGAATGATGATTATTTTAAAATGGAATTGCTTGGATATATTTGGGCCAGTATGGTAATTGGTTGGCAACGACGAGCGCCTATCAGAAAAGGGGTCCGTGTAGATAGCAATTTGGTGGGGTGAAGAGATTGTTGTTTGAGGATATTTTTGGATGACGGCTGGTGATACCAATGTTAAGGCATATAGTTCTTGCCGTCCTCCTAGTCATCCTTTCAGAGAAGTCTGTTTGGATGTCTTCGGGCAAGTATGCTAGTTGGTTGGCAACGACAACTTATTCTTTGAAACGGAGCTTGTGTAGATAGCAATTTCTCTGTCTTTTATGTCTTTGTATTTTATGATTCTATGTCTCTATGGTTCTGTGTCTTATGCCCCGACCTCAGCCCTGCAGCCGCCGTCAGAAAAACAACTGGCTTTCGTCCTCCCCCCTTTTCAGGTATAATATATATTTTTCATTGCAAAATATAAAATATATAAAATGATCTAAAATTACGAAAGCCAGCCTTCGTAGAAGGCGCTAGCGGAGTTGTGTTTGGCGAACGAAGTGAGTAGTTAGTGGGGGGGTGGCCCGGGAAAGGTACACGTAAATTCGGCACATGCTGGGGGAGGAGGGTGCGTCGAGGGAAGGTTTTTTGAGGTTGTGTTGGAGGTGATTTTTGAGGGTGGTGATGCAAGAAATGCAATCTGCATCATTTGCATCATCTGAATGGAAAGGTGTAGTTGGCACCTTGAGACAAGATCGGAGACAAAGGGAGACGGAAGGGAGACAAGGTGGACACAATGACCAACAAGAAGGGAAATAAGAAGGGATAAAAAAAAGAAACAGAGGGGAGACAAGATCAACAAGCAGGAAAATAAGATCGGAGACAAGTGGGAGATAAGAAGGGAGACCAGGCGGACACAATAACCAACAAGAAGGAGAACACAATGACCAACAAGAAGGGAAACCAAGAGAGATAAGCCAGACGGAAGGCGGACACGCTGTCCGGCAGCAAAACGGACACTCTAAGAAAATATTTAGAATCCCTGTAGAAATCATCTGGGAGACAAATGAATAGAAATATTGGCAAGGGGAAAAAGGCGGATACCAGCAGTGTAGGCACCGAACCTAGGAAAATAAAAATAAACAAACCACATGGAAAGCAAATGAATAGAAATGCTGCATGGCCAAAGGAGAAGGGCGGATACCAGCGGCGACAGGCCTGGGAGACAATGAATTGAAATGCTACATGGGCCAACGGAAAAGGGTGGACACCAACAATAACAGACCTGGGAGACAAATGAATGGAAATACTACATGGCAAGGGCCGGACAAATGAATAGAAATACTACATGATCAACGGAAAGGGCGAATACCACCAATGACAGACCTGGGAGACAGATGAAAGAATAAAAATGCTACATGGCCAGCGGAAAAGCGCGGACACCAGAAGTGACACAAAGGGCGGACACATCTTAAGAAGGAATTAAGAATCCCTTACAATAAATTGC